TAGATTTACACTTGTTTCCATTCTATCCCTGATGAAGATTCCACCTTCATCTGTATTTGCCCTGAGCCCTCTCCTGACATCTCTGCAGCAGCATCTGGGGTTTCCTCCTGGTCTCTCTTACATTTATCACTCTGTCCCATCCTCACAAGCTCCTAAGAAGATGTGAACTCTGAAGCCAGAGTACATTAGGGTACTTCCATGACCTCCTGGGTTCCAGGTCACCCAGCAACTCCGAATATTATTTCTGCTACATTGTTCTGTATGATTTTTGGGTTAGAATAAGACCCACAACACCGTAAGATACCCTAAAAAATTTACAAATGAACTTCTGGAATATAACATGCTTGTAAACTCAATGCTGTCTTTTCTGCTGGTGTACAACAGACGAAAGTAGCAAGATACATTAAGTGTGATCTGTACTGAGACAGAATCCAATTATAGAGATTGAAACATATTGGAGGCCAATGAATAAGAAACAGTGTGAGCAATGAAGAGAAAAATTAAGGGAAGAGAAGAAAGGAAGGGAAAGGGAAGACAGGGGAAAGAGGAGACAAAATCCGAATAATGGTGAACAGAACGGCCAAGGACCCAATCAAGTATCCATGAACTCAGTCTATTCACCATTCAGGGCGACTGGGGCCTCAGTATTGATTATAGATGATGAATGGGTCCAAGGGTAATGGATAAGGCAGTGCTTGAGCATTGGACATAAGCAACAAGTCGACCAAATACAGGCCATCATTTGCTCATGATTGGTAAGAGAAAAATCAAGTTAGTAGTCTTTAATTTCTCTTCAATCCCTCATGTATGTCATTATAACAGAAACTAGACTAAAATAATTACTGACAGTTTACCTTGCTGTCTGCCCAGATTAAAAATAAGAAACTGCTTTAAATGAATATCTTTCTGAAAGTACATTGAACCAGTCTTCTTACACAGAACACACTGTACATGACTGGACCTTTCTTTCCTTGATGCACTGGGGTCACAATTAATGAATAGATTTTTATACTCTGCCCTTTTTAAGAGCAGTTAATGGTGAGTAGGGTTATGTACTTTCTCACAGTGTAACTGCAACATGTTGTGCCTGTTCAGTTCTTCAGATCTGCTTTAAATGAGTCTATTTCAAACATGCAGTTGGTTTACCATGTGCTATTTTGCTAAGTGTGTCATCTTCCTTATAATTTCATGTTTACAATCTATATGGACCTAGACCCTAGCATCATAGTTTGGTGTAACTAAGTTAGAACAAATTAGCTACAGTGAGAGCTTCCTAATGTCCATTTTTGGATCAATATCCTACAAAAATAAAGGTTAGATGGTCAGATAATTGAGGCAAGATATTATCATATTCTTGTTTTGTATCTTCTTCATTAAATGTTTTACTCAACCCTAATGTACACATGAAAAAGCATACAAATCATAAGTTTATAGCTTAATGGTTTGGAATAAACTGAAAGAAAAAAACCCACAATACAACATTACTTGCAGGGTAAGTTTTTGGTGCAGCAGTTAAGAGGCTGCTTGAGATCCCCGTGTCCCAACATCAGAGTGCCTGGATTCATGGCCTAGCTGTACTCCCCAGTCCAACTCCTTGTTAATGTATACACCCTGAGATGCAGCAGCGACAGCCCAGTACTTGCCCCTATCACTCATGTGGGAGACCCAGATTGAATTCTAGCACTGGCTGTTGTAGGCATTTGGGAAATGAACCAGTGGACAGGAGAACTCTCTCAGTTTCTGGTTTTCCAATAAATCAAATGCACAAATAAAAGCATTTAAAAAACACTATCTGCTTTAGCCTTTTCAAAGTATTTTATATGCATTAATTCACTGGATAATTAACAACAATATGATGAGGCTCAAAGATGAGGTTATTCCATATTTAACAAATGGAATGTGGAAAATGAAGTTTATGTAACTTAACTGCTTTCTCGAATCAGAACATAGATGGCAAGGATGTAATCCTGGTGTTCCCCTGAGGAATATTCCCATTAGGCCATGGAATGTCCTCAAAAGAAGCATTGCAGTAGGACCAGTTCTAACATCCCACTTTGAGCAAGAGCAGAACAAGCATTCCGCTAGCACCTAAGACCCTACTGGTTGTTTGGAGCCTGTGTCTGCTCTGATTGGCCAGTGCCCCCATTAAGCAGGCTGTTAAACATTTTTAATTTCTTCTTCAGGAAGCCCAATGTGAACATATTCTCATGAGAGGAGGAGGAAGAATAACTAACTGAAATTAAATCAGATTTCCAAAAGAAAGTACTACTTCAAAGCTGAGTTGGCTGATCAAGTCCTCACCCTGACTGTTGATGAGCAACTTAATATGTTATCCCTCTTAGTACTTTTTTTTGTATGTTCTACTTAATACTTTTGGTTGAATACTTTAATCAATACACAATTCTTCTTAAGTGCTGGAACTTAACTGAAAAGTGATCACTGTTAAATATAAGAGTGGGAATAAGAGACGGAAGAGATGTGCAATTTGGGACATGCTCAAGCTGACTTGCCCCAAACGATAGAGTTAGAAACATACCAGGGGATTCGAATTCAATCCCATCGAGGTGGCATGTACCAATGCCATCTCACTAGTCCCAGTGATCAATTTCTGTTCACAATTGATCATAATGATAGGACTAAGAACCAAAGGGATCACATAAACAAGAATAGTGTCTGCAAATACTAGCTGATGGAATCAAAAAGGGAGAGAACGATCCAACATGGGAAGTGAGATACACAGCAGACCCATAGAATGGCAGATGTCTTAAACAGCACTCTGGCCTCAGAATCAGCCCTTAAGGCATGCGGATCCGGCTGAAATGCTCATGAGACTATTTCAGGCATGGAAAGCCAAGACACTCTGGGGAAAAAAAAAACCTAAATGAAAGATCTCCACGAGTGAGATCCCAGTGGAAAGAATGGGTCATCAAAGAAGGAGGTACCTTTCTCTGAAGGGAGGAGAGAACTTCCACTTTGACCATGGCCTTGTCTAAATATGATCAGAGTCGGTGAACTCAGGGGGCTTCCATAGCCTTGGCAGCTCATGACAAGAGCCTAGGGTGATTACTGACGCCATAAACAAGAGTGTCAATTTGTTAAGTCAACAACAGGAGTCACTGTGCACTTACTCCTCATGTAGGATCTTTGTCCTTAGTGTGCTGTACATTGAGATTTAATGCTATAACTAGTACTCAAACAGTATGTTTCACTTTATGTTTCTGTGTGGGAGCAAACTGTTGAAATCTTTACTTAATGTATGCTAAACTGATCATCTGTATATAGAGAGAATCGAAAATGAATCATGATGTGAAAGGAAGGGGAGAGGGAGTAGGAAAGGGGAGGGTTGCAGGTGGGAGGGATGTTATGGGGGGGGGAAGCCATTGTAATCCATAAGCTGTACTTTGGAAATTTATATTCTTTAAATAAAAGTTAAAAAAATTAATTAAACCAAAAAAAAAAAAAAGCTGAGTTGGCTTAGTGTTTTTAATCTTGGATTTTCTATTCTCTTTTTTTAATCTCTTCATACACAAAATTAAAATAAACCCAATGGAAATGGGAGGAACTAAACAATCATAAGAACTTTTAATAAGCATCCCCAAGCTCATATTTGAATTAAGTATCTCTATTCCTATTTTGAATTGCCATCTCTTCTAGAAAGCCTCAGATGGTTCATACTGCAACAGTGATCCATTTGAGTAAAAAGTGTCTTTATTAAAACAAAAAAGTCCTAATGCCTCACAGATGAAAGGTCATGGAGGATCTCCCGGTCAGCTTCAAGAATGCAGTATTTTATAGATCCTCTTCTCCAAATGCTGCTTAAAAATCAGCTGAATACAATCTAGTGTGAAAGGAGTACCTTTCAAAAAACACAAGAAGAGTTGTTCCAGGTATTTGAACACTTTTTTACTGAAAGTTACTGCAGGACTCAAACTTCCCAAGTGACCAAGAAGCAGGGTAAGCTCTTGAGAGTCAAACGTGCTAGCATCAAAACTCCTAGTCTATGTAACCAGGCTACGCCCTCAGTTCTTCCTAGTGGGTAACCTGCTTTCCACTACAGAGAATGACCAACACAGGATTTGGTCCCTTAACTCATGACCAAAAGGGGGGTGGGGGGGGAGGACTGACTGTGCTACTCAAAAAGGAGGTAAACAAAATGAGAGTATTTACCAACTACCTGGCTAGAGCAAAAAGGTCGCTCTGGGAAGATATATAAAATGCATGGATCCTTCCCCAACTCTACCCAAAAGTTTGCCTGGATGAGAAACCAGGTATCTACTCCATCATCATGTTCTGGTGTGCACATCCTGTGTCATGGGGAAACTGTCCACAGGTTCCTACCCAGGATAAATCAGTTCCAATTCGTCACTCGGAGGGAAGAGCAAGTGTAACTCAAGCACAAAATTAGCTTTAGTCCCACGTTATATTCATATGTAAATGTACCCTTTCCTACCACCGCAGATGGAAGCACTTACCGTATCCCAACTGTCTCTCTCCTTTTCTCTCTCCCCCAGTCTGTGTGTGTGTGTCACAAATAAATAATTAAAAAAAAAAATACGTATCTTTTTTGAAAACCTAAACTTGTGTACTTGGAGGAGCAAAGCCACTTTGCAAGGGACCTACTTCTGATTATACGCCAACAACGGACAACTGCTGGCAACGAAATGAGGCCACTGCTCCTGCACTGGCAAACTTAAAACATCTTCACGTTATCTCAATAAAGTTGAGTGAACTCCGTTACCCTGGAGCAGCCGTCGGTTGGTGGATCTGACTCGAAAGGGCTTCTTGGGAAACTTTCTGCAGCTGTTCCCAGTGTCGCTCAATCTAAGAACCTCAGAACTTCAGAACGGGGGAGCCAGGGGACGGGAACCAGGGACGCGCTGGCCCCTGAGGCTGAGAGAAGGGTCGCTGCTGGCCAGGGTCTCTGCTCGCGACGGCCTGGGTCTGTCAGGAAACGGGACGGAACCGAGGGGCTGAGGCGGGCCGAAGCCGGGGCGCCCTACCTGCGTTCCTGAGCTTCTTGTTGCGATACACAGACAGGATGACCAGCAGGTTGCCCAGGATGTCCACCACGATGGTGAAGATGAGGATGAAGGCGAGCGTGGAGGCCAGCCAGGAGGCGCGCGGCGGCGCCCCGTCCCCGCCGCCCGGCGCCTGCTGCGAGGCGTTGAGCAGCGCGCTGCTGTTACCCTTCATGGTTCCCCCCTGCCGGGGCCGCCTCACGGCCGCCGCCGGACCATCGCCCCGCCGCTGCCACAGCGGAGTCGGCCCGCCACTTTTTATGGCTCCCCTCAGCCCTCGCCGCGCCACCTCCGCCCCGCGGCCACAGCCTGGTGGCACCTGGGGTCGGCGCGAGGCTACTTGGACTCGCGGGCCCCCGCAGCACGTGCCAACAGCGCCCCCGTGCGGAAGCCCGCGCCAGCCGCAGGCGCCCGCAGGGCCAGGGAGGCCGCAGAGGCCGAGGGATCCGACGCTCCTTGCCTTCTCTGGGCTGGAACGTTGAACCCAACAACGCAAGACTGCAGGCTGGGATCCCGACTCGGGCCCAAGTGAGCTTCTTAGCCACCATGTGCCCCAGTTTCCGAATCTGAAAAATGGGAATAAAGTCGTATCTAACTCATCAACCTCACAGGGAAACGTGGGGAAAAAAGTCAAGGCATCTTTTTCTCTTAGAGGGGGGTGGTACCCTGTTTCACGTTGTGCTGAATGTCTCGGGGAATGAAATGAGATGCAAAGCTATATACAGATGATAGGTGTGCACGTATTTTCTTAAATACCGATAAAAATGAGACGGCAGATATAATTAGATAGAAGATCCAATATACAAGAGCAATCCATGTAAAATTGCCAGGTAATGACTTAACCAGTTTGTGTGCAGAGCAGAGTTTTAAAAAATACTCAAAACTTTCTGAGCACCAATAAATAAAAATAAATGGAGAGAAATATGTTCCTGTATTAAAAGCTTCACATTTTCTCTTCCCCATACACTTTATGCCAACTGATAAAAATAGCAAATTATTGTAAATTTCCCCAACAGAATAAGAAGAAAGTGTAGGAAAAAGGAGTTTGAATAAGATGAATAGGAGAGTTATGACTTACCAGTACTAAAATATACTTTAAAAATTACAATAAATGATACTGTTAAGTTCATCAACAGCCAAATATAGTTTAGATAGAGTTAGAGAGAGACAGGTTTGAAAGTAACTAAGCTTTTAAAGAAAATGTAGTAGGATATGTATATAACCTTGGTGTGGAGAAGAATTTGAAGCATGGAAGAGAAAACAGGACAGAAACTAACTATATGAAGACTGGTAGCAGCTATGAATGACAGAACCATGTCATTTCCCAGTTCTGAGGTCACACAGGTAGCAATGGGTTAGGGTAGGATTTGAACTTTGCTCTCTCTGGCTCCAAAGCCATGGAACTCATTACTGAGAGGCAGTGTTTCTCACCAGTGATAGCTTTGACTACAGAAAATTTAAGGCTTTAATATTAAAAAAAGAAGAAGAAGAAGAAGAAGAAGAAGAAGAAGAAGAAGAAGAAGAAGAAGAAGAAAAAAGTCAAAGGAAAACTGAGAAAGTAATTTGGGACATATCTAAAGAAAAAGCATTAATGATCTTAATTATATGAATACCATTTTTTTTTCAAATAAACAAGGAAAAATAATAGAAATATATTTAAGGGTAAAACTAAACAATTAAAGCCTGGCTGGCGCCACAGCTCAATAGGTTAATCCTCTGCCTGCGGCACCAGCACCCTGGATTCTAGTCCTGGTCAGGGCGCCAGATTCTCTCTCAGTTGCTCCTCTTTCAGTCCAGCTCTCTGCTGTGGCCCGGGAGTCTGCATGGGAGACCAGGAGGAAGCACTTGGCTCCTGGCTTTGGATCAGCGCAGCACACTGGCTGCAACACGCCGGCGGTAGCAGCCACTTGGGGAATGAACCAACGGAAAAAGGAAGACCTTTCTCTCTGTCTCTCTCTCACTAACTCTGCCTGTCAAAAAAATAAATAAAAAACAATTAAAGCCTTAAAATTTGTGTGTAACCTCACATTTAAAATAATTCTTAAAACCATTCAGTTAACATTCTACCACTTAAAAATATTAAAAATGATAGTGACAAGTCTGATAAAGAAAACAAAAGCAAAGCATTCCTTGGCACAACATAAACCCGTGTATACTTTTACTCCATATTTCTAATAGGAAGTAACTGAGCAAGTGTTTGAATATGTATGGACACATAGATGTTCTTTATAGCGTTGCCTATGAAAGTTGAATCCTAAACCTCCTATAATTGGAGTTTTGGTAAACAAGTTACTGTGATCAACAGATGCAATGCAGTGGCCCAGAAGGCTAACCCTCTTCCAAAAAGGGTAGCACATGCAGTCGTGGTGGGACACACAGAAATAACTCATCTTTTATCTGCCCTGTGGAATGAGAAAAGTGCCCTGGAAAACATGAACACTCACAAGAACCGATAGGCCCTTAGAAAAGAGACATTCGGAGAGGGTATCCTGGAATTGTGACCACCCACATCACAGTTCATGGGATGGATCAGAGTCGAAGTAGCCCAGGAAAAGGCAAGAGGTCTAACCTGAGACTGGAGCTGTGACATAAGAAACAGAGCTGAAGTTGAAGTCCCACCAAGAATACAACCTACTGGAGCAAAGATAATAATACCCATAGAAGAAAATAATAGAATCTTTAATACCCACAGGTTAACATTCTTAACATCCATGGTACAATCCAAATTTTGCAACATACGAAAACACTAACTACAGTCTGTGCCACATAACATTTTGGTCACTGACAGATCAAATAAGACATACAAAGTATGGTCCCAAGATATTATATTACCTGGTGACACTGTAGTCATCTTGGTTTGTGTGAGTGTCTACAATTCTATGATGTTCACACAGTGACAAAATCACCTAATGATACATTTTTTTCCAAAAGTATCCCTGCTGTGAAGCTATACTCGATTGTATCAATCTTTCTATCAAACACATTCTTAAGACGCAATAAAATCAATCAACTGCTATGTAAATGCACGATATGTTGAAACTAACAATGTCAGCAGAGAAATGGGAAATCTCAAAAGAGAGATGGAAGTAATAAAAAGAACCAAATGGAAACCCAGAATCGCAAAAAGACAATTTCAGGAATTAAATGTTCACTACATAGAACTTAATAATCAGAAGATGTGTCAGATAAAAGAGTAAATGTAAACTGGTTAAGCCACTATGGAAGGCAGTCTGGAGATTCCTCAGAAACCTGAATATAACCTTACCATACAACCCAGTCATACCACTCCTTGGAATTTACCCAAAAGAAATTAAATTGGCAAACAAAAAAGCTGTCTGCACATTAATGTTTATTGCAGCTCAATTCACAATAGCTAAGACCTGGAACCAACCCAAATGCCCATCAACAGTAGACTGGATAAAGAAATTATGGGACATGTACTCTATAGAATAATATACAGCAGTCAAAAACAATGAAATCCAATCATTTGCAACAAGATGGAGGAATCTGGAAAACATTATGCTGAGTGAATTAAGCCAGTCCCAAAGGGACAAATATCATATGTTCTCCCTGATCAGCGACAACTAACTGAGCACCAAAGGGGAAACCTGTTGAAGTGAAATGGACACTATGAGAAACGGTGACTTGATCAGCTCTTGTCCTGACTGTTGATGTACAATGTAATACTTTATCTATTTTAGGGCCGGCGCCGCGGCTCACTAGGCTAATCCTCCGCCTAGCGGCGCCGGCACACCGGGTTCTAGTCCCGGTTGGGGCGCCGGATTCTGTCCCGGTTGCCCCTCTTCCAGGCCAGCTCTCTGCTGTGGTCAGGGAGTGAAGTGGAGGATGGCCCAGGTGCTTGGGCCCTGCACCCCATGGGAGACCAGGAAAAGCACCTGGCTCCTGGCTCCTGCCATCGGATCAGCGCGGTGCGCCGGCCGCAGCGCGCCGGCCGCGGCGGCCATTGGAGGGTGAAGCAACGGCAAAGGAAGACCTTTCTCTCTGTCTCTCTCTCTCACTGTCCACTCTGCCTGTCAAAAAAAAAAAATACTTTATCTATTTTAGTATTTTCTCTTTGTTTTGTTCTAGTACTATTGGTTGAACTCTGTGATTAACACACAATTATTCTTAGGTGTTTAAATTTTAACTGAAAAATGATCCCTGTTAAATGTAAGAGTGGGAATAAGAGAGAGAGGAGATGTACAATTTGGAACATGCTCAATCGGACTTGCCCCAAATGGTGGAGTTAGAATCATGCCAGGGGATCCCAATACAATCCCATCAAGGTGGCATGTACCAATGCCATCTCACTAGTCCAAGTGATCAATTTCAGTTCACAATTGATCACACTAATAGGTCTAAGAGCAAAGGGATCACACAAACAAGTCTAGTGTCTGCTAATACTAGCTGATAGAATCAAAAAGGGAGAGAACGATCCATCATGGGAAGCGGGATACACAGCAGACTCATAGAATGGCAGATGTCCTAAATAGCACTCTGGCCTCAGAATTAGCCCTTAAGGCATTCAGATATGGCTGAAGAGCCCATGAGAGTATTTTAGGCATGAAAAGCCAAGACACCCTGGAAAAAAAAAAAAAGGAAGACCTAAATGGAAGATCTCTGCGAGTGAGATCCGGGTGGAAAGAATGGGCCATCAAAGAAGGAGGTACCTTTCTCTGAAGGGAGGAGAGAACTTCCACTTTGACTATGACCTCGTTTAAATTAAATCAGAGTCGGCGAACTCAAAATGCTTCCATAGCCTTGGCAGCTCATGACAAGAGCCTAGGGTGATTACTGATGCCATAGACAAGAGTGTCAATTTGCTCAGTCAACAACAGGAGTCATTGTGCACTTACTCCTCATGTAGGATCTCTGTCCTTAATGTGTCGTACAATGTGATTTAATGCTATAACTAGGACTCAAACAGTATTTTACATTTTGTGAATCTGTGTGGGTGCAGTCTGTTGAAATCTTTACTTAATTTATACTAAATTGATCTTCTATATATAAAGAGAATTGAAAATGAATCTTGATGCGAATGGAATGGGAGAGGGAGCGGGAGACGGGAGGGGTGTGAGTGGGAGGGAAATAATGGGGGGAGAATCCATTGTAATCCATTAACTGTACTTTGAAAATTTATATTTACTAAATAAAAAATTTTAAAAAAGAGTAAATGTAAAAATAAATCAACAGAAATTGTTCAATGAGATAAACAGAGTAGCTGGAAAAATGAACAAAGCTACCAATACCTATTTGATTGCGTATATTAGAATATTAGCCACAGATATAAAATAAGCTGGGCTCCCTCCTTAGAGTATTGTAAGAACAAA